GTTCAGTCGAATAGGAGAGTCAAAGCTAGGACTCTAAGTAGTTTTTCAAGTCTAAGAAGCCTATCTGTTCTAAGTATGTAAATACCCAAAGGTCAAAACACACCTTTCCTTTATATGGCAGATGCACTGTAATTTTTCTTTGTATGAGAGAAAAGGAAACAGAGTTGATTAAATTGCTGATAGTCCCTAGCATATAAAACTGTGACATTTTTCTTTCATAGGCAGTATCAGAGATGAAATGGACTGTATCACCAAACAGATTAGGACCTGACCTGATTCCCTGTAAATAGCAGAGTTGCTCTTAATAACTTTAAATTCATTGAAAGAATTTTTTTAAATTACCTAGTTCTCCTTTCATTTACATTCTTAAAAGTACCTCCCAGTTTTGCATCCCATCGTTCATTTTGGTTCTGTTCCCTTGGAAACTTGGTTCCAGTGACAAATACCTTGTGCACGATTAGTAAAGCCTGCCATAAAAGCACAGTATTAAGCCTTATACTTCCCACTGAAGTATTTTTTTTGTGAATGTTTACAAGTAATGTTTCAGTTTAAGTAACACCAGATCATCTTATGGAACATATGTCAGCTTTCTATAGTAAATCTGAAAAAGTCCTAAGTGGACTTCAAAAGCAAAGACAAAATGAAAAGAAACCAAAACAAACTCATGTGAGAAATGAAAACCAAATATTTTCTTCGATCCCATTTATTCACCAAGCCCATGTTCTTAAGGTATTATTATTTTTCAGACCAATCCATATATCTTCTTCTTTTACATATCTTAACAGTTTTTTTTCCTGAGCACAACCTATTCTGAAAAATGCTTCCATTTTCACTAAGCTAGTACTTATGCTAGTGAGAGCTGGAAAATCTTCCTGCAGCACCTCCTGCCTACCTTCACAGCTTTTTTAAAGGTTTTGTATAAAATTGTCGAGACAGAATTAGCCAAAAGGTTCATTAAGATCAAGTAAATCTACAAGCAACTGTTGCTGCAATATAATCTGCAGGAAAATCTCTTGCATTTGAGTCATCCCAGCAGAAATCGAGATTTTCTGCATTCATTTCCATGGACTTACTTGTGGATCTACCCCTGATTCACATTTTAAAGTGTATTTAGAAGACCCAGCAGACTGCATTGTCTGGTGCACATGGTCTGTCTATGTGTGTATGTATGTATCTCTCCATCTATCTACCTACCTATCTACCTACAGCTATATAGACATAGACATGTATATATATATATATATATATATATATATATATATCACCTTAAAATATTTTCAGATGAGCATCCAATAGATTTATTTGTTTTTTTACATAATCACATTTAAATAGCCTTGGATCACCAAGGTACAGGTATCTTAATGAACTCATATTCCATGTGAATAAAAAATGCAGGAGGGAAAGTTACGGTGGTGTGAAATAGCTCGGAGAAGTAAGACATCCATCCAGTCTTGGTTTTAAGCATTGTTAAGCTATTGGGACCATTTTCAGAAATAGCTGCGTTGAAAAAAATTAATGAGTTTTCCACTCAAAACTTGCATCTGCCCTAACATGCAGGCAGCCTTGCAGGTCCCATGTGTATATTTCATACATAAACATGCTTTTTACCACACATTCTAAATTAAGAAGGTGACACACTTGGAGAGACCCATTTTTTTGTTGTCCTTACTTGGTCCGTATAATTTAAAGTAATAAAATTTCCCTGTCCAAAGTTATGTGAGTGTATTATAGACAATGCTCCTTCCTATGAACTATTTTCTGCTTGAGAAAAATTGTCCTTTTGATTATTCCCAACGTCTGCTTTTAGCATAAAAATCTGTGTGCTTATTTGCCCCATTCTCTCCTCACATTAAAATCTTCAATTGTCTCATACTTATGCTAGCACATGTTGAATCTAAAGGGTCTGGCAAGCTGAGTTACAGATATATTATGTACATCTTCCAGTGCATTTTTGCACTGAAGTTACTTGCTGGCACTAGCATGTCCTGGCAAACACCAGGAAGCCAGCAAGTGCTCCTTTCCTGTAATCCGTGCAGAGTACTGTGTGTGGGAGAGTCTGCACTGCCATATTCCCCACAAGTATAAGCTCCCCTTTACAGTGTTTATCTTCAGCGACATGCTGCTTTCGAGCAAGAATGAAAACGACAGATTTTTCCCTCATACAACACACTCAATGAGTTTTTGAAAGCTTGTATATGAATCATACGGAGAGGAGATGAAACTATTCAAGTGAAGCCCTTTTCCATCTAATAGGGACATACAGAGTTGCACCTTGACATATGAAGATCTTCAGAGACGTACCAGTTTAGGAAAGTGCAGCATAACAGTCTCTTCAACCCATTTTGAAAGAAGACTGAGACAGACCATGACTATTCCCACTTCCACAATGACAAGCCACTTACAGGATTATTTCAAAGAATCTCAGATCACAAAAACTGCACAAAGGTGGCTTTTTTTGTGAGGCTATGCTCAATACTCTCAGTGATCTGATATGTCCTTACTATAACAGGACCTAAGTTTGCTTGCAAGGCCAAGGCCATCACGTCACACAAAACAGAACTCAGAAGAGGAACATGGGGTAGTGCTGAAGTGTAGAAATAGTCTTCCTCTTTCAATTTAACATGAAAAATAAAGGTGGTAAATTCAACAGCTGTGTGTCCAAGAATATGCAGAGTATCCAAGAATATACAGGAAATCTAAAAGCATGAGGAATCAGGGGTTTCTGAATGTTGCCCCAGTTTTGTAAGCATAATTCTGTTATTTGATCAATACGTACATTCGGTTACAGGTAGTAATAAACAGTACTTTTTACTCTTCATGGATATATTTCTATAGCAACAAACAATCTTTATACTCCTCATGGATATATTTCTATAGCAACAAACAATCTTTTCTGCTACTGATGACCCTTCCTAAGCAAGAATTTACAAAAGACAAAAGAAAGAAAAAAAATCTTATTAACTTGGAAATTTGTTTTCTTATTTCACTTGAACTTTTGAAGGAGACTATCCTGTGAATAATGGGAACTGGTATGACCACTCCAATTGAAGGAAAACTGCCTTTTTTTCTCTACCTACTGCCCTTTTTTTTTTGCTTCTTATTTTCATTGTGGTACTTGATACCAATTTTTCAAACTATTAAGCACCCATGCATCAGAGGTTTCTATTGCTCTCCCAAACAAATTCCCAAAACTTCAATGGTACTTTAACTAAAGAAAGGAGAACAGAGAAGTGTTAGCATGTAGCAGCTGGGACTAACCAAATGAAACAGGCCATTCCTAAAATTCCAAGAATAGAAGGGCTTAATGAAGTTCGTTTTTACTGACAATCATTTCTAGAGCACAGAAAAAATTCTGGAAGATAGTCTCTCAAATCATGGCAGGCTTTTGCAGCCGGACTGCTTTATTCCTGTGTGTGTCACCAATTAGTAGCTGCCTAAAGCCATAGAATCATAGAATAGTTTGGGTTGGAAGGAACCCAACCCCTCTGCCATGGGCAAAGACAACTTCCACAACACCAGGTTGCTTAAAGCCTCATCCAGCCTGGCTTTGAACAGTTCCAGGCCCAGAGATTCTCTGGGCAACCTGTTCCAGTTTCTCCCCACCCACTCAGTAAAGAACTTCTTCCTGATGTCTAATTTTTCAGTTTAAAACCATTCCCCCTTGTCCTGTCACTACACGCCCTTGTAAAAAGAACCTTCTCCAGCTTTCTTGATGGCACTCTTTAAGTACAGAAAGGCTGCTACGAGGTCCCCCTAGAGCCTTCTCTTCTCCAGGCTGAACAAGCCCAACTCTTTCAGCCACTCTTCATAGGAAAGGTGCTCCTGCCCTCTCAGCATCTTCATGGCCTTCTCTGGAGCTGGATGCAGGACTGCAGGTGGGGTCACATGAGAGCAGAGTGGAGGTGGAGAGTCACCTCCCTCAACCTGCAGGTCATGCTCATTTTGAATCAGTATTAGTAGAATAGTACCCAAGCATTTGGAGGCTGCTGCATGTTTGCAGCCAAAAGCTGATTCCAGCAGATTCCCACACTGTGTTGCTCAAGAATATTTTAAGTCACCATTGCCCTATAGATGGCCGTTTTGTGTTGTTATTTTGAACAAACATAGTGATCTCAGCTCTTGGCTCACAGATTTCTACATTCTTTTGTGAGCTCTTACACAAAGGCTTTATGCTTTAAAACAGATGCCGAAGTGCCTGTGTCATTGTCTCAGAAGGATGGGCTAGAGAAAGCCTAATGCTTGCAGAGAGGCTGTGTGGAAGCTGTGTCCTCACTCTTCTGGGAGACGCTGGGGAGTGTCTCCCAAAGAGCCACTGGCAAGGTGGTTTGTTCCCACACAGGCTGTCTTCACTGCCAAGAACAAATCAAGCAGGTTTCACATCAAGGGCTGCTTTCATGCATCAACTTTGCCAGCCAGCAATCCCCCTTACTAGTAAATAGAGTAAATCTTTCAAATAAAAACTGGTAATCTGGACAAGCTAGGCTTCTGCTCCTCTCCATTTTAACAAAGGAGAGACTACTTATCTACTGTTTATAAACACATCACATCTAGACTGGTTAAATGTATGCTGGCTGGACAAAGAAAAGAAGGGTCAAATACTGCCAGGCTCTGGACTAGAAAGTCTTTTGCTACAGTCAAAAGGGAGAGTTCCTCTGGAGATGATTCAGTATCATTATTATATATATTAATTGATTATCGTAGAATTGTCACTTGCAACAGTGACATTTACTGACCCCCTTCCAGTTAAATGGTCTAAGGCAAAACAATATTTATTTTCACGATGGCAGAGGAAAGAAGGTCATAACCAGTTCTGAGAACTGCCAGAGAGGGCACTTACAGTTTCTCCCTCAGCCACCACTCACTGTCACAGGAGGTAGTGATACATTGCAGAACATAGTCATTGATAATAATATCATCATTACATTCAATACTGGCGAAGAATACTGGACTACCATGTTAAATGATCACCCATACCGTGTTTTATATCACAGTGCAGTCAGGTAATTCTCATGCATTTTTATTTAGTAATCATGAGTTGGGTCATGAGTTAGAAGCGGAGGAGAAAAATGGTTTAAAATACTTCTGGTTAAATACAATTCCAGCTCAAGGCAAGAAGTTTCACATCTTAGCCAGTTTCCATAAGGAATGGTTCTCACAGTAGGAAAGGCAAATATTTGTAGCTTGCCAGAAGTAACATCACTTGGTTGTTATCAGTAAAATTCAACGTTAAGCATGTGCACTCTTTTCTGCTACCGGTTTTTCAGGCCAGCTACAGGATCAGGAAGACAACACTGCAGTGTGTCACATTCTTCCCAAGGAACAAGAAAGGCCAGAAAACACATCTCTCAGGCTCTGCATAGTGATGGGAATACATTCTTGAATCAAAGGAATAGCAGGAAGACAAAAAGCATTGAAGGGCAAAGAGGCATCAGCACTGGGAAGAAACTGAACTCACTCTCTTTTCTGAGAAGATCTCATCTAACTCTTGAATATTGGCACCTTGTTTACTCAAATCATCTGCGTGAAAGACAAAAGAAAGATAACAAATAAGCTCTCATCATCTGGGTTTCAAATCGCTCAGTGGCTGCACTAATAACACGCATCAACCAGATGCAGCCAAGGCCAGCAAGAAAATAGTCTGAATTAAATCCATCTTGTGCCTTGACCTTTGACTCTGGCTCACAAATGCACACAGAAACCCAAAACTGTGCTGCAAAGTGTGGTGTGCTAAGGAATAAGCCAAGCAGCTGTGGCATGTTTTTCTGCCACATTTCAAAGCCCCTCAGAAATACTGCATATTCTGGACTGAGTCACTGCCACATTTAACCTAATAAAGATATTAAAAGATAATTAACCTAATAAAGATAATAAAAAATATCACCCTGAATCCACAGTGTCATCTTCTCAACTGCACAGCACAGAACACAGATTAGGGTAATGCATTAAATCACATTTTTTGCAATTTTGCCACCCAAATATTTTCATCACAGTATCTTTTTCTTGGGTAGGATGGACAGGGCTGAGAAGGAAATACTTACTTCAATACACAGGTATTTTACTGCACCTGCTTGCCAATAGAGAGTTTAGGAGACACAGAAAACAGCAAACAGAAAGGATAAAAAAGTCATAGCTCAAATCCATCCTGGCTGTAATCTGCAGTGACAGCTTTCTACTATGGATTTATGATAAATAATGTCGTTTCTAATTTACTAGTATATTTACAACTCCAGATTTTTAACATTCATTTTAGGAGTACAGATATATTTAAAAAAAACCCAAAACAACAAAACAAAAACCAAACCAAACCAAAAACCAAACCCAGATTGCCTAGTCAGTAGAGCCACAGTAATTTATATTTTGGAAGATTTGTTTATACCCATGCTGTAATAAACTCTACCAGCTATTTCATCACAGGTGGTGTATTTCAATCCAAACTTGGTCTTTGCTATTTTTATATTTTAGCAAATTTCTAAAAACTTGACAGTTCAATGAATAGTGTTCAGCTGAAAATATTTGACATAAATCGAGCTTACAGGAATGCATTGTGCATTGCAATTTCATTTTAAATAAACAAATCAGTGGTGTTCTGTCTGTAACCTCACCATGAAAGGTAACTGATGTAGAATAACAAATCAATGTCTCTTGAATTTTCTGAATGCTCTCAATAAGAATCTTTGGCATTGTTTTAATGGGTGGGATAACACAACATACTGTATTTGTCTGAATTAGTTTTAAACCAAGATAATGGAGCATTATTAGTATGTCTAAACTAAGGAAGACCCCAAAATAACTTTGAAAAAGGATTAATGTGATAATTACACATTAATACCATAACATCAGTTAAACAGAAACTACATTGAAACGAATATTTCATAGCACTGATAGAAACAGGTATGCATAACCCTCCATAACTAATTTTTCAAATATGATTTATGGGGTGGCCTTAAGCTAAAGTACAACAGATACCAGTAACATACCCGCTTCTTTAAAAAGTGCTTGTTTTGTGTGACAGATGACTTTTCTTCTTTGTTGGCTTTGGCACTTACTTAACAAATGTTCCTTTCAAAACCCATCAAGTGGAGTACCTGCAGGAAATAAATACAGTTCCTAGAAGAATAATAGTACTGACTTTGTACTGAATGTGCTTGTTCACACACTGGTATCACCTGATCACAGGTAACCAAACTATTTGATGGTAAAGCATGGGAAAAGTACCTCCATCAGTTTCTGAATACCTTCAAACCGGCATATCCCAGCAATAACTTCATTGGCCCTAAGAGAAAAGGCCCACTAAGAGAAGAGGAGATCCTTTTCTTGCGCTGGCCTAGATATGGACTGAGCCAAAAAAGAAAGATGCAGTTTTTTAATGGATATAACTTAGCAGAAAATTTGAAAACAAATAAAAACCAACACTAAACAAAAGGAAAAGATCCATATTGTGTCTCTCAGATATATATAAAGACATATATAGACACTTTTATATATTTATGCACATGAAACAGGCATAAATCATACCTGCTTTTTACTACACAAAAACATCTGGTGGAGAAGGGCTGTGTTTTGAAACTGATTTGAAGACTGGGAAAGATTTACTACTGATTCTACAAATGATCCATGTTGTTGACAGTAAAGGAAAAAGTGAGTTCATGTAATATAATTTTGAAACAGACTATGTAGAGAGACCAACAATACAAATACAAAAGGCAAACCATATTGATTGCTTGAAAAATGTATACAGTCTACACTAAAATGAAGAATCACCACAGCAATTAACCTACCACAACAGTATAGACAAACATTGCGTTAATGCACACTGCAGGACAATCCCACAAGTCTCAAAGTAAAGCAGTGTCATTGAAATGGTTACCTAGTAGAAATCACTGTCAAGAATTTCAGTAGTGCTTTAATGTTAACTACCTCCCTGTTCTCTAAGAAAGAAAAGCTATGTATATATGAGGGCCCTGGGGGGGGGAACTTTCTGAGATGTACTCCCATCTGTCACCTGTCCGTTACAGAGGTCATGTTTAAGAGTGTAAGCATGCCAAAGGATGCAATGTTATCTGAGTCATGGCCATCATTGGAACTACGGTTAGTGATACCTCATGTCCATCGTCATTTTGCTTTCACTCAGGGGTGGGAAACAGCTTCTCAGAAGGGCAAGGCCATTCGAGTTAGATTGAAAGGTCTAGAACTGAACATTTATGTGAACAGACTGCAGTTCCAACTAAAAGCTCCCTCACCAAGTTGCTCTTTAACTTCCAGAATTTAAGCCCAAGACCAATAGATCTTGTTTTCTTCTTCCTCAGCCCTTAATAATGAAAGAGAAAAGGTTAGACATACAGCATTATACATAGGTCACACTGAATTCTGAGAAGCACTGTACCAGAATTAATTTATGACTTTCTACTTGTTGAATCAAAGCATGGACCCTTTCTTCATGCAACAGTCTGAACTCCTGCCCAAGTCTGTATGAATGTAATATGTTTGTGACATATAACATAAATGCATCATTAGACAACTGTAACAAATTAAGTGGTGGGAAAAAAAATCAAGCAGCACAAGAAAATAAAAGCTGTTATTCATAGCTGTAAATCACAAGGCTTCAAAAATATCATGAGTGACTGATGAAGTCACACCAGCTGTTTTAAATTCGTGACTCTGAGGAAGGCTTGCTTAATAATAGATAAAGTACTAACAAGAAGGAGAGAAGAGAAACCTGAAGAATTAAATAACCAGAGAAGAAAGGAAAAAAAAGAAAAAAAAAAAAGAGGAGCTTATTTCCATAGAGCATTTTTAAATTAAAAATGGCAGTTACTGCCATATGACTCGTTACAGAACCCTGTTCATCAACATAGTCAGAGATAACAACTCGTAATATATTTTTGCTGACCCAGTATGCCTGCTGTCATTTCTGCTGGAGTCACATATTAACAGCTTGCTTTAAGCAATGTGTTTTCAGCAGCCACTCAGTTCATACATTCACTGCATTCAAGTCCAGCAAAATTTTGCAAATAAGTAACTATTCCTTAATTAAAGAAACCCTAAATAAACAGAAAAAACAAATACCCCCCCCCAAAACACCAAAAAAAAACAACAAAAAAAAAAACAAACAGGAAAAACCCCAGCCAGAGCAGGCACCTATACCCAGCATGCAACAGACTTTTCTTAAGAGTGTTAGAGAACACTAAATGTTTGCTATCCACAACTAGAAATCCTATCCACAGTTTTCTTCCCTAACTCAGGGGAAGTCAGAGACCTGGAAGCAACAGGAGAATCTCCTGGTAATAGAATATGAATTGACAGAAGCCAGGCTGCACTGTCAATTTTCTATTTGAGACAGGAGAATGATCCCACTGTTTGAATTCAAGTTTTAGGAACAGCAAAATGAACACTACAATAAAAAAGGTAAAAGTTTTTTGTGTAATACAATGCTATTATTGTACTATACGTGGAACCAAGACTCAAATAAGCTGTCTTACAGAGCTGTTTTAATGAGTTCAAATCTGCAGGAACAATACACAGTCAAAATGATTAGAGGTAGGAGAGTCTGTACTTTCTACTGACTCATTTGACACTGTCAACTTCCTGATTCCTAATTTTATTATTTTTTTTTTAATGCCCACACTGGACCTTTTCATGCATTTTGAGAGAAGAACTTAGTCACCTGCTAAACGTAAAGTTTAAGAGCAATGAACCCAAAAAGGCAAACCTAAATGTGTGAAATAAGTTCGGTGAAGCTAAAGTGCTTCCATGAATTGAAAACAAATTTCAAGAACCTCTGGAATTTATTTCAGCATCTTATTACCCTAGAAGTTATTGGGAAATCAGACCTTAAAAATTGTTCCATCCCTAAATCTATACAAGGGAAGCAGGCTGGGCATAGACAACAGTATTAAACTGGTGTCATTTAAAAAATGGTCCCACTGTTCAGTAGGATCCTAAGTGGTAGCTGCTACTTTTTTGGATAGTGACCACTGTGCCATTTCAGTATTAACCAGGAAGGCTTGCACAAAGATTCAAATCCTACACACTGAAAACATCAGACTGAGTGCATGTGCAGACAGCCTGTGAAATCAGAGGCATGTTTTTCTTTCTCTGCCAGCACTGCTGCTCTGATAGGTAGTTAGGAACAGGTAGACGCATTCACAAGGTAATGTTCAGGATGATTTTCCTCTAAGGAAATAAGTAGGAAACACTGATAGTTACCTTTTCACAAGACTTTCAGATTCTTAAGTAGAAGGCACAGAAAATCATTCTTGGACAAAACAAACCCAGAAATTAATTTTCTTGGGCTGAATTGTCTCTTCCACCCCAGTGGAGAGATAAAGCACCTTAAATGACACTGAAGAGTTGCTTTTAAGCAGCTCAATTCCACCTGTACCTTTTTATCACTGTTTTTCTGCATGCAATTATATTTTTCCATGATTCAGGGAAGGCAAGTTCTTTAGTTTGGGCTCAAGCTAAAAATTTCCAAAGCACTAAAACCTTCACTTGAGAGAAGGAGAATGGACTCAGGGCAAAAAGTTGTACTGAATTTTATGAGAAAGACATACGAAATCCTTTTTGAATCCACAGTGCAGTAGCTAAGCATTAAGCAACTGCTCAATAGGGTTTCATTAATGCAGCAAAATTATTATCTGGGAAAAGTTGCATAACCTCCAACAAACAAGGTCAGAGATCAAGATATTTTTACACGTAGTCTCTAAGATTCTCTTCTGCATGAAATAACTACTTGGACAGAAAAACTTATCTTTACAGCGATGGACAGAAAAACTTATCATCTTTACAGCGATGGACAGAAAAACTTATCATCTTTACAGCGATGGACAGAAATGGCCTATTATTCTAGCACTAATTAAGATTCCTTCAAGCAGAGACTAATAAGGAAATTAATTATACAATTCCATTGGTTATTCTACTTCTCTGCAACAGATGTATCCATAATTCCATTCTGAACAAGCAAACTGCATCTTTTTCCAATTTCAGGATCAATTTAAAGGTATTACTTTTTGTTCTTTAGTTGAAACAAAATATCCCAATCTGTTCCACTGACCCGTTTTTTCTCTTTTTCCTGGGATGTGTAATTACTGCCCTTTTAACAGAAGAGATAGCATAGCACAGTTGAACAGACTGGTTAAAATCTAGTTAGCAGCCGTATATCTGGATATGAATAAAGGGCTGAACACCATGTCCTTGCCACAGCAGCTATGAGTTTCAATTATTAACCCATCACAGATACTGCTTTAAATACATTACTGTTCTCAGCAACCATAGTCAAGTCACCATCACATGGCAATTGTAAATGCACTTTACCTTAGGTTGCTGTTTAACTGGCTCTGCATATGACATCTTCAGGGCAAAAAAGGGAATAATTTTGGCACAACTTTCTATTTCTTCGGAATGTCTCAGCTGAAGAGGTTTTATTTTCCTCTTGCTGAGATTCTTCAGTTTCTGACACTGAGCAATAGACTTCCCAGGGGAATTACTGCCTCTCTTAAAACCAGCCAGACTGTTGCAATCAGGTCCAGTGTGGTGGGGATTTATTCCTCTGGGCTCGGGACTTCCCATTCTAGTGTGTGCAGATTAATATGTACTGCTGTTGCATACCACAGAGCTGAAAGACCTAGAACAAAGGGGTTTTTCTCAGTCTTTCAGAAGGCCCTTGTCAGGTTTGGGTCATCTCTGCAGGCTGCCTGAATGATCCTAGTTTAAACCTAAGGCTTTGAGCCAACAGAAGAAATGTTCAGCTCACGTGTCAGATGCTGTCCTGACAGCCATTTCCCACCACTTCCCTCCCGAATCTGAGGTCCTGAGAAACTGAAGCTTCCTCTTCGGCTGACAGTTTGGCCACAGTGATAAAGAATAACATATATAAAAGCTCCCAAATAAAAAGATTAGATCTCTCCTCACCACTCAAATTTGGGAGTTTACTTGAGATATAAGGCCATGGGACTCAAGTTCATGACGAGCCACAGTGGAATTTTTAGCATGTATCTGTGATCCATTTTCTATGCCAGCCACAACAAAACCAAATCCCATCTCAGTGTCAATCACTGTCACAAAGTCTTTGAGGGCCCCCCATTATGACCATCAATTTCTAAACTGAGCTTCAAGTTTCCTTGAATATTTTGATATTTCTCTTGTGATAGTATTTTCAAGACCAAATACAACTTCCTTGATTAACTCTGTATCAGATCCAGTATATTGCTACAAGCTTTTATGTTCTCCCACTTGAACACTTTTATTGAATCACATTGGCTCTGATATTAGAGACTTTCCAGTCCTACTTAGTATTAATTTACTACTAAGTTACTATCAATTATTAAGTGGGAAGAATGGCATCCCCTTCCTTCACTGAACATCTTACAACAGCTTGTATATATTTTAGATCTACTTAACACCTTACACAGCTTCACAATTCCCTGTTTTACGTTAAGTTCGCAAGCCCTGGTCCTCTTGGGGGACTTCAACCACCTCAATATATGTTGGAAGGATGACACAGCAGGGCACAAACAATCCAGGAGGTTCCTGGATGGTGTTGATGATAACTTTCTTCTCCAAGAGATTAGAGGAACCAAGGAGGAGAGGGACTATGCTGGACCTTGTCCTCACCAACAGGAAGGGTCGGGTGGGCAGTGTGATGCTTGAGGGCAGCCTTGGCTGCAGTGGTCATGGAATGGTGGAGTTTGAGATCCTCAGGGCAAGGAGGAGGGTGTGCAACAAGCTCACTATCCTGGACTTCAGGACAGCAGACTTTGGCCTCTACAGGGAAATGCTTGCTGAAGTACCATGGGGTAAGGACCTGGAGAGAAGAGGAGCCCAAGCAAGTTGGCTAATATTCAAGGATCACCTCCTTTACGCTCAGGAGTGATGCATCCCAACAAAGAGGAAGTCAGGTAAGAAAGTCAGAAGGCCTGTATGGATGAACAAGGCTTACATAAAATGATATATTTATATCACTGTTACATCTATATGCAGCCTATAGACATATTGTTGAATTTTATACATGTATACTATATTTACACCATTGTATAGTGTACTGTATAGTATACTATAGTGTATAGGTATACTATCTGTATACTAAATATTCACTATATACTATTTAGTAATATATAGTATATACTTACACTATATATATTTGTAAATATCTCACAACTCTGACTCAAATACCTAATTCAGAATTTGTATCTTAATGTCTTTGAAATACTGAAGCAAAACCTGTGGGTTTATGACAACTCACAGAACAACAGCAGAGAGAAAAAAAAAATCTACCCTCCTCCTACAATGTCTCCATTAAATAAATGAAGCATAAGACACAACATCAGAAGTTACTGATCACAAAGGCAGCAACGTAGTGAAGATTGTTCCACTTCACTAGGTCTTCCCTAAAACTGCTCCAGCAGTGTCTCAGTAATATCTTCACAGGTAATCAGGCCAAAGTGGCACACAGAGTTAACAACCCTTGAAAAACTATCTCTGGCATACTCAGCAGCTGCTGAAAAGCACAGAAAAGAAGGGAAGGGTAAGGAAGCAAAAATTGGCATTCACCTTCCAGAGCAGTTATGATCTGTGACATGCTCTTTTGCATCAGAGTGCAGAGCCCATGTTCTGAGCAGCATGTGATACCCAGTGAGTCGCAGGGCCAAGCTGGAGTGCAGCTCTTGAAAGTCCTCTCACCTGAGAGCAGGAGGGAACCATTGCCTGCCAGAGAAGCACACTGGGTTTCAGACTTTAGCATCACTAACATCTGCACTATTTCTACCCATTGTGGCCAAAACATTTGCTGCTCACTTCATCTGCCTGAACCCTCTTATTCATTCCCTAACTATCTCTAACTTTCTGGCTACAGCAGACAGCATTGATTTCAACCCACAAAGCTCCAAATAAAATTTGGGCTTTGCTGGTTTTCCAGTTGCTCTTCCCTGCAGCACTACAGCTTTTCTGGATAGAGAAGGTACGTGCACCTTCCTAGAAGTTCTACATTACAATCTTGTATGTGAACCTCATTCCCTGACAGGACAAGGGGTAATGGTTTTAAACTTTAACACGGGAGATTTAGGTTGGGTATAAGGAAGAAGTTCTTTATTCTGACAGTGATGAGGCACTGGAATGGGTTGCCCAAAGGAGCTGTTGCTGCCCTATCCCTGGCAGCGTTCAAGGCCAGGTTAGACAGAGACTTGAGCAACCTAAGCTAGTGGAAGGTGTCTCTGCCCATGGCAGGGGGTTGGAACTGGATAATATTAAGGTCCTTTCCAACCCTAACTATCCTGTGATTCTATTCTATGATTTTATAACTCAGTGTAACTGGTACAGGTCCTAGGTCCAATTCAAGGGGAAAGTGATTAATATATGGCAAAGAGCCAGGAACACCACTTCTCAGATACTGTTTGGATTTGTCAGTGGCTTAATACCTTAAGCTTAGGACTGATTTGTGAAACTGCAATGGTCAAGTAGTAACTCAGAAAGACAGACTCTGGATGTTGTACAGATGCATATTTCAATGGCATTTCCTCAATACCATCTATTTTTAACTTTCTAAAATGTTTGTAAGAAAAAGAGATTCTTCCTTCTTTTTTTATGGCCGTGAAATGTGGAAGCATTTATGTTCAGGACAGGACTAAAGCACATACTCAAATCCCATCACATAGATGTTGTTCTGTGTAAGAATGAACAAGTTTTACCTAAGCCGTAGCCTGGCTCCTCCCTGTTTTCACACAGCCTTTTACATGCAAATACATTTGTTATGTCCTTCATCTGAAACAGGTTAGACTTGGACCTGAAGTAAACACTAACTCTCTTTATCAAGATACAATAATAAATCTGTTGGTTAAACAGTTTCTAAAAATTCTCAACAATTTTGATTTGTAGCAACAACTACCTTACAATGTCAGATCTTTATTGCAAGTAAGCATCGGGAGTTTACTCGTGTGGTACGTGTCTGATCATGCTAATTCACCTCATATGGTGGATCACCCAAACTGGACACCTTTTGGAGGAGACTCAAGCTGAAGATGTGCCACAAGAGCAGTCAGCTGAAGGAGCCACATGAGAATTTGCTGAGAATAACTACACTGAAAAATAAATAAGATGGATATCTTCAGAAACAAAAGTTCCTCCCTACAAATCCATTTCTTTGGAAACATACTTTATAAATGCATCTCTAGTATACCTGCATCTGCTGTTGCTATGCCTCTCCAAGTCACCTGGAATAAGCAAGTCACAAGTGAACAGCGATGTGGTAGGTAGATCTTAGCAAAGTCAAGCCATTGGAATAACCTTAACTGGTAGCTCTGCCCCTTTTTAACTGTATGACATCTTCAGGATGATACCTGAAGCCTCTATCTAATTGAAAATAAACTCCCAAATTTCATCACATTGTCTGCAATAGCAGACAGTCCTTCACATATGCCAGACTTTTCCAGCAGTCTACATCATCTTTGTATTTTGTGAGGATTTTCTTTATATTCTGTTTGGGCATTTGAATGAGGTTCTTTTTAAAGTTCATTAATTTATCTTAATGGGTGGAATCGTGTAGCTGGATTAGCATCACAACTACTCTTTGGCTTAAAAATATACATCTGGATGCAAAATGAGGACTTCTACTGGCCCAGAAAACCCTGATGCCACCCACTGGACTGATCATCCCTTAAAGCATTTGGACCATTGTCAATTATTTTTCCATAACATTAGATCCAGGGGATGCTTGCAGCACTACGGCTGGAATCTTCCACTGAACAGATGGTAAGGGGTGTGTTACTTTTAGTTGGGCTGGCCGCAAGGCAAACTTACGCTTTACAAACCTGATTCAGATCTGCCCGGCTTGATGTAATTGTTAATGCAAAGACAGCTGCTTACTGTAGTTGTCTTACCTCTAGTTACAGTTTTATCCACTGAAGTAGTAATTATAGGTCTTCATAAAAAGGAGGGAAACAATAATTATGCAGATGGAGAGGGAAGACTTTCCAGATTAAATTCAGATTTATCTTCCCGCATCACCTAGTTTAGAAGCCTATTAGTAAAGCCCATCAGTAAAGCATATAATACCTGCTCTCTAGAACTGACATTGGCTTTAAACATTACCCATCTTTCAGACTGTGTGCTGCTTGCTTTCAGCTTGCCTCATCACTTGTCTGAATGCTACAAAGCCTGAAGACAGTTTCCTGGTGTAACTGCACTTTGCAAAAGACAGCTCCTTTTGTTTTACCATGGTGGTGTCCCTGCTTAATCTTAACTGGGCTTTAGGGATCAAACACACACATCTGAACCACACCTCAGGTGTGTCTCTAAAATGTGTGGAAGAAGAAGTTTGATATTTCATGAAAACAGAAAGGAGATTGCTTACCAGATCTCCCTACTGATTCTTAAGGACAGAGCACAGTTTCCCCAGGCTAGCTGTTGTCAGCAGAAATACCTAGGAAGGAAATTTCTGGACTTCTCTGATCCATTCATGCTTTAGATGCACTGCAAGCACTAGAAAATTGATTATACAGAGCACCAGAAACACAATGCAAAGCCTTCCTGCACCTCTCCTGAGACAGGATAGCGTAACATGTGGCTCCTAAAGTTTTCAGTTGAATACCTTTGCTCATCCTCACTTCCTGGGTTGTCAGCAACCACATACACCACTACTCACACAGTGTTTTACCATCTGTCTTCCACATACTTTCACCCTGCTTTTTTGGGAACCACATGGGTTGTTGACAAGGATTCTGTCTTTTCCAGCTTCCATTTCTCCTCTGCCAAGCACATTTTCCTAATTAAATAATGCTGTACAGTGTACACAAGCAAACAATTGCCTACTCAATTTTGGCGCAACCAAGTTTAAGACCAAATTCACAGTAGAGAGGAAGTCGGCTTTAATAATCACTACTAAAATGTGTGAAGTGTGGGTTTGAGAATTGTTTTTGGTCAGCAAACCATATGATTTTATTGTGTGGTTGGCTTTCACGGAGAGGGATGAACCTAGCTGAAGTTTTATTAAAAGGCACAACTTTTGTTACAAAATGGAGGGCCATCTCCCTATTTCTGACCCTTTTCCCTTTTTGATCCTTCCTCACAGATGAAGACTGCATTACGGATCATTTTGAGACCTCACTCAATTGAAGACATAGCTTCAAAGACAGCCTTAGCTGACTTTGGGAACTGACTACAATAAACAAGGAAGGATGTCTGGCTTCCCAAGACTTAGCAGCCAATAGGTTAAAGAAAGTTTGGCCCTTCAGCTCTTGATGTTGTTTTGTATTCTATTGCTTCTGATGCTTGCACATGTATCATTCTCAGCTGGTCTTACCACTTCAACCTGCCTTTTAAACTTTTAGCTACAGCAGTGTTCCTGGGATTTTGATCAATAGTTAATTCCCATGGCAAAAAGTGAATTAAGGAAAAATTTACCCATGGCAATTTAAGCAGTGCTGCATCTAAGTGAAGGCACACCCAATGCAAGTGAAACACCCTTTGAAGCCAAAAGGGGAACCAAATGCCTCAGGCCATTTTATCATTTGAGGTACACAGGTGTAAATATGAAAGGTCTCTGATGTAGATTAACAGGCGTCACAGGTATGTAAATTACCTGTTTGGCACACTATAGAACTTACTTGTTCTTAGATCTTAAAATATCCTGAAGTGTGACTTTACAACACAGAAAAAAACTTTTCTTAATTCCCTACAACAACTCCATGTCCTTTTAAAATAATTAGAAGAGAAATCTTGTAAGTACTTTAAAGATGAGAGTTTACTCACTTGGAAAAATCCTTACTTCAAGTTTCACTGTAGGTAAGAAATACTATCAGAACTCCAAAAGACTCCCAAAACTAAAGCACTAAACTATCTTCTCATTTTTCCTAGGCTGCACTAGTGTAATCCTTTAGCTATCAGGAGTGGTATTTTAATTTTACATGTGTCTTTATGCTCTTCTCCTCTTGCAGTAACTGCGGCTCCTTCGCAAAGGAAAGCGTCCAAGAGCACGTACATTTAAAAAACACTAGTTAGAATTTACGTGGCCAACTCAACTAAATTTTTCCACCTGCAGTAAGCTAAATACTTGTTGTCATTTACCCAAGCGTATGTGTTGCATCCCTTTGCTGTTACTTATGAATCTTCCCAGCTCAGGCCACATGTGGACTTCTAGGCACAACCTCACTACACCTCTGAACTTACATGAAAAAGATCCATAATGCATTGACAGCTGGTCCCCAAAACAAGGACTCTTCCCCCAAAAGAGCTATTGAATTACATAACTTTTAGCCTGCAAGGCACCATTCCCCCACACCACCCCATGAGGAAAAAGCTGCTGCAGAAAGGTTTCTGTGACTCTGCCATAGCCTACCTAAAAGTTTTTTCACACATGCACACAAACACACACAGATTTTACTGGTCTCTTGGCCTTTTCACTCTCCAGCTGCAAGTTAATAGGTGTGAGAACAATGTCAATATGTGCCACTTTAAGAACAATCTTTTATGTAACCCAAATTAAAATTTAACAGGCAAACACTATTCAGTGTTTGCAGCCTTTTTCAGCTGGATCTAATAAGGCTCAGTTTTGCTAGAACTTGTTTTCAAAGCACTTACAAAAACAGCTTCCCTGCCACTCTCACTTGGAGCAAAACAAATCACAGAGCAAACCCTGTAAAATTTCCTGCATTTTGGAATGAAGTACAGTAGTAGCCTGGACATGCTTAGTATAGTTTTATATGTGCAATAAATAAATAAACCCAAAAAGGGGCTGGAAGGATTTGCGGTACCACGTCAGTAGCCAATCTTGCTTTAGTTGCACACAATGCTAGTTCACATCCCAGTCCTGTAGTAATTGCTTTGCTGGCCTGCCAACTGCAAATAGCTGTCAACTAGTAAAGCATGCCTGAAGGAGACTGGAAGTGTGATTGACAAATCTCACTCAGCTCTATGTTTGCATAACTGACTGTTATCATGAAGCGAGTTCAGCCCACCAAGCTGCAGCTGAGGAACTGGCATGGGAGGGAAAAGGATGGCTGCAAAATCTTCAGTGAGATGGTGGAGAAACAGATGATCAACCCTCGGTGCTGTTAAATCTCTTATCTTCTTTCAACATGCACCTCTCACACACTGATGGGAAAAGGTGAATTTTCATAGAAAGCTGGTAGGTAATGACACTCTGCATGTACTGTAAGTGTAAGCAAGCCTCAAAAATAGCCTATGCATCTCTTGGTAACATTCTGTAATTTCTTCAATAAACAGCTTACTGCTTGAAAGAGCTCACACATGCATCAGCCAAGTCCACTGAGAGCTCCTCTGAGCTTCTATCAATGGCAGCCAAGACTGCAGTCCTTGAAGTGCCTCTACCTAAGATGAAACATGCCTACTGTAAATAAGCTACTGTACAGTTCCATATTTCGGTATCAGCCTGTTTAATGTGCTTCAGAAGCAAGCAACAAGAGCCATATGCCCTGAGCTGATTATGTATTTGTCCTTCAAGACAAGCATTTAGGTGACATTACTTTAGGAGTTCAAGACCTTCAAACTTCAAATTTTACATCCCTGCCAAAAACTCTTGCAACATGTTATCAAAGTAGGATGTGGCATCTGGGCATATAAACCCTGTTAATAATTAACAGAAGAATCTGTGATCACTTATATGGTATTTTGAAACAAAAGTCAGGAATGCAGATTCCAGAGATTACCAAGTTTCTTACCTTGTACAGCATCATGCGTACATGTGTATATTCCTCAGGACTGCCAGAAAAACTTAATGAATGTGCAGATCAAAAGAACTTTGGTGCCTTCAATATACAGCTTACAAGAGGAGTGCAAAACCTATGAAAATGCACAGAACAAGCAGGCAGTTACCCATGCCTTTCTCCCAAAACGTTTCTGTGTTTCCTAATCCCTTAAAAAAAAAAAATCACATAGGACTTCTTGAAAGGCTATCAGTAAGCAAGCAGAAGCTGTACTCTTACTGCTGTTCATAGCAGAGATTAAAAACATCAGTTCTTGGCTTCCCGCTGAGATGGTCAGTAATGATTTCTTCATTACCTTAAAATCTTCCTGCAATGCTAAAAAAGCCTTGCAATTTTGCAAAGCATAGAGTAAACTTCCAGCAAGTCACAGGCACAGATTACTTTTTACCCACTCTGCAAATTACTTTTGTTGAGGATATGTTTTTAGAGGCATAATTTTGGAAAGCATATATCCCTATGGATATTTTTAGAGGTGCATTCCTACTTCAATTTTAAAGTGTTCATTTTGTGATGGCCACTATAAAACATTTTAGATTTAATGCACTTTTTTATTTTTTTTTAAGTTTGTGGCCTTCAATAAAGATGAAAAATAATAATAAGAGGGCTGGAGTAGGATAACTTCATGCTACTTCTCTGTATTTTTGGCTGAGGAATACATCAGTGCAGACGTTTTAAATACACCAGAGTTTTTCCTGATTGAACAATTTCCATTAGGCTGCTGATCAGAGCTGAACACCATCGACGGACTCCAGTGGTTGTTAGTTCTGGAATGCTGAAGTTCGTTTAAACCTTTGCAACCCATGCTGTTTGCGACTTACTTTGATTCTCTAGTGCTATCTAGTGGCTAGTACTGAAAATGATTAATGCATAGAAATGCAGCTGCGCAGAAGACGGCACCTATGGAAAAATCTAGGGTCCTCTTCCGTGGCTAGTATGAGCTCGAGGTGTGCATGTGGGTCCGGATACTGCAGACAAATAGCCTCTCCCACAAACCTTCAGCACGTGGAAGCTCCCAGGCTAAAGTGCCTAAGCTGAAACCAGCACCCGGCTGCTTTTTGTTTTGAAATACCAAAGAAACACTCATGCAGGCAGCATTATCTTGATTGCTGGTGGCCACCTCCAAGCCTATTTATGCCTAAATGGGTAAGCAGTTCCCCTCTCCTGCTCCCGTTCACTTCTGTAGTTGAAACTTGGTGCCTGGAAGTATCTGCAGGCTAATAGCTCTTACACAGTACTGTTCCCCAAATTGCACATGTACAGAAAGCCTCTGACATGCTCCCCTCACCCCTATTCAACCCAGCACAACACAACCAAATCAGAGGAAACAGTAGCAGGGGAAATGCAGGCAGAAATGGTTCGGCTGATGGCTAAATAAATAGCTTTGAAAAGTCTCTGACTTTTTTGGGTGGGAAAAAAAAGAGGACACGAAATGACAGTAAACTGAATTATTTTTACTAAATGCTAATATTCCATAAATCTGTACTTAAAGACAAAGGTCAATTTATGTAGTGACTGCCATAAGAAAAGTAAAGGCCTTTTTCCAGAAGGAAAGAGGCTATATGCATAGAATTCTGATGGTCAGCTGCCATTTGACAGGAACAAGAACCAAACTGTTTGTAGGGAGATAAGGCAGAGATTGGAAAGAGAGCGTGCTTAGTCACAATAGGAAATTCAGCTCAGTCCAGGAGGTTCCCACCTTGTCTTAAGCAATTCACTTTTCTTTCCGGGACAGATTCATACTTACTGCAAAGGCTTTGTTAGACACAAAATTTAACACAAAGGCAATCACTGTCATTCAGTGTTGTGAAAGGGCCTGTAAAAGCTTCATCAGCAGACTTTGTCCACTGGTATGTGGAGTTATTAGCACACATACTTGGTTAGAATAACCTCTGACTCGACATTAACAATAAATTTGAGCATATTACTTTACTCGTTATGTATATGCTCAAAACCAGCAGTATATGAGAGAACTGGAGATAAAGGTAGAACAAATGCAGGTCCTTTCCACTATCTTTAAAGCCAAGACACTGAAGGCTACATCTTAGGGAAAAAACCACAACCAACCAACCAAACAAGCAGGCTGTGATTTCTAGGACTGCAAGTGAAATTTGTCAGGTTTGTCATACACACATGTATACCGACTGAGGAGAGCCCAGTAGACATCAATCCCATCAGGGAGTGACCCTGGATCCGACTGTGCCCAGGGGTGGGTTTCTGACCACCACACCTCTCAGACAGGCAAGTCTGTCAGGAATAGCATCAAAGCTTTTATCTGGCTAGGACTTAAACCTCAGAATTTCTCATACAGACAGAAACCTATAGCTGTTCTTCAAAAATAGTGCTGGACCGTGTCTTCCATTAAGGCATGACTTGCAAGTGAAATGGTAGATCCTAAGCCTTTTCTTTACAGGAACTTTTCCAGGACATGGGAATTCAAGCAGTGAACTGTCTAGGTGAATACAAAAAGAAACTGCAGATGCAGCTCACATTACCCAGCATTTAAGATGACCATGAAACAACACTAATCTACTACATTAAATATGTCTCTTACCCCATTTAATCTGCAACTACTGAAAATGAAGTCTCCAGCCCAGATACTATATTTGGAGTCGCTTGGATTCCCTAGAAGAATTCTAACATTAAGAGTGACATTTTCCTTCACTACTTGTATTTGTATATATTCATCAAAACTAAGGAAAATGTGGGGTTTTTTCTTCATTCCAAGATTGTTAGAAGAATAACACCTTATTAGCCCTTTGCAGGCTTTACACTTGGGAAAAGGTATAAAATCTGGAAAATAAGAGTTGGTGTGGACTTACTAAAAAAGGCACTACAAAAATAAGAATACATCACTTCTTTCTTCTGCTCTTGGTAACAGTAACAAAGGCTAATGCTTTCCCCATATGACAGTCTTTATTATCACTTGCCCTCAGTGGTTCCTGTCACAAACAGGAATTCCAGTGACATTTGCTGCTTTAGCCATTAGGATTATATTGATATTTATGTAACTCATCTGCAACACTGACCTTTCTACTCCCAACAGACATATTCACATTTAACATTGAGTAACAAACTTTTTTAAGCCACAACAAAATGTGTATGGCTTTGACAGTTTCAGACAAAGATTCTCCCAAAACAGAGAATAAGTAATTTTTTGTTAAATACCCAAGATGCTGCTCCCATTGCTTTTTGTAAAATCCCCAAAAATGTGAGACTTCGAAGCACTGGGCGTGGTGGCTATACATCCTTGTGATGAGAAGGTACTTGAAAATTACAGCCTGCAAAGACCTTTAATATGCCTCAGCCTAAGTGCTTGTAGATGTGCCCAAACAAAAACCCAAGCTCCCTTATTTCCATCTGGTGTGCAGTGTGGAAACCTGATAAAGCATCCTGCAAACGTAGCCTGTGGCCTCAGCCTTCCCAGTCCTGATATTGCGCAATCTATGAAAACACACCAAATTGCAACACGTTGTTGTTGACCACTGCTGAGAGTCTTAAAAAGGTATCCCACGTCCCATGGAAATACTCATGCAGAACATTCCCTTTTAGCTATAATGTTAACCTTGCTCAGTCCAAATATACTCTTAAACAAACTGAACTACACTTTACAAAGTGTAAACTATTAAACTGCCAAAAGCTGAAATAACAGAAAACAGTAAGCGCTGAAAAATTCAAAGCCACCCATCTTAGTAAAAAATCTTTCACTTGTGTATCCCTGAGTAAATTGGACATCTAACTGCTAGCACTTTAAATATGTAACGTCACA